GAACGAAAGAAAGCGAAAGTCATTGCTTTCGTCACTTTCCACTGTAATACGTACGTCATTTCAGCAAAAATATTACATTTCCATATTCTCAGAAATAAATACTGTAGTAGTTTTGCTGAAACGTATTGTATTTCAATGTAAATTAGGATAAACTACATGAAAACAAAAGACTTTACCTAACCCTCCGATGTTCAAGATATGTTACTCGTTTTTTTTAATAGTTTTTGGTTAAAATACTGTTATACAGTATTAGTGATATTCTATTCATACTGTGCTTGATATAATACATTCACGGAAATGTAATATTTTTGCAACTACAATGCTGATGTCAACACAAGCGTGGTTACAGCGAGACTGACTGAGTGAGGGAGAGCTATGCGTGTGTGTGTGTGAGGTTATGGGAGCGGGCGGTGTTCTGTGTTCGGTGCCGCGCGCGGGTTGAATGGCGCGCGATTTGAATGTAATTCAATTACTTCAATGTACAGAATATTCCTCCGGCGGGGCAATCCGTGTATGCTAAACCCGCGTATGTTAAGGGCCGACTGTACAGTATGTCCCTATATTGAATGTAACATATTTATGTAACAACTTACTCTTTTATTGTCTTTTTAATTCTTTATATTTATTTTCTTATTTATTTATATACTTATTCTTCTTTCTCTTTATACTCTTGAGAGGTGGAGAGGGTGAGGGAAGTAATTGTTTATGGTTGCGGTAGGCTGGTGATATAGGCTTGCAGTTGGGCCTCCCACACACACCAGCCAGGGGAGACTAAGACAAGCTAGTTAGGGGGACTAAGATACAATACTTCACAGAGGGGAAATATAGGATAGTTATTATATATAGTGGTCCCTCGGTTAACGAACACAATTCGTTCCAGAAGGTCGTTCGTTAACCAAAAATTTTTGTTAACCGAAACCATTGTATCCAGCTCACCGAAAATTACATACAAAGTAAAAAAAAAAAATGCAGTAAAGTACACTTACTTTGAGGTGTGTATGTAGAAGGCTCCTGGTTGATGATGATGATGGGAGAAGAGAAGGAAGTGGGGGTGGACGAGAAGTCACCCCATGCTTCATGCTGTCATTTCACCCATAGAATTTTAAGTTCACTAGGTGTAATTCAAGATTATGTTCTTTAAATCAACACTGCACTGCACTAAATATTGTCAGTATGTTAAATAAATTTCAGAATGACCAATAATTGTACTGTAAAAAGCCTAAAAATGTAAAAATACTGTGTTCAAGAGACCCACAAGCAAGATGTTTCTTCCACTGAACAGATACAAACTGAGGCCTTGGTGGGTGGGTGAAGTGGCTGATGGGCACACCAAAAACTAGTTCCCTGTACTGCAATTATGTTAAATAAGTGTTAAAATGACTAAAAATTTTAATATAAAACGTAAAATTATTGACTAGTCCAACCTTCTTGATATTTACTCCAATTTTAATGACTGTAAGCCATAGAACCGATTTCTGTATTGGCGGACTAATCTTCCAGCTGGTGAGCAAGCCAAAGCATGTCGAAACATTTTCGTAAGAATTTCGTTAACCGAATTTTTGTTCGTTATTCGAAATGAAGATTCTTATGGAAGGTAATTCATTAACCGAGGGACCACTGTACAGTATTTGCCTTTTGATTCTGTATACATCACCTCAAGCACCCACACTTTTCAGCTTATCCATAAATGTATAGTAAACCTCTCTTTTGGCCCTGCCTGTGTTTGGCCTCCAGATACAGTACTCCTTGTCACCATCTGTTTTCCAGGCCATCTCCAATAATTTTTTCTCCTTTATCACTCTGTTCACCACCATGTTACTGTAATGTTTGACTGAACATTTCATCCAGCCACACCACACAACATTTCAGTCATACTTAACAGGCTATCTTTTTAATGTGGGGCAGCAACTTCCTACATTGTCTACATACAGCTACTACTCGACCTACGACCACCCGCACTTATGACCTGCCTCAGTTGGTACGACCGCCGCAGTCTGTACCAAATTTTTTTTCAAATGACGCGCGTATTTTCTAGACCGAAATGTTCCCATCCCGCATGAGAGCGTCACGTGGGCTGGGTAGCGCCGCCTCGTGGCTACAGCACCCACGCCGTAGAGTGCTTAGTGGGTGTTTGGCTGTCTTTGTTCTTGCAACTAATCACGCTGTGTACAGTACTGACATTATTTTTGTATCTTAATTCACTTTAGAATGACTGTCAAGCGTACAAGTGAGAGTGCTGGTGGTGCTCAGAAGAAAAGGAGACAGTCAATTACTTTGGAGACGAAAATTAAGATAATAATGCAGTATGAAAATAGAGAAAACAGTTGCAACCATTTCACCCCGCCTAGGCTTCTCGCACTCGACCATATCTACTATTCTAAAGGACAAGGAACGTATTCGTGAGGTAGTGAAAGGATCAGCACCTATTAAGGGAACTATAATAACGAAGAAAAGAAAAGGTCCTATTCATGAGATGGAAAAATTACTTGTGATATGGATGGAAGACCAAATACAAAAGCGTGCACCCTTAAGCCTTCTAACCCTACAGGCTAAGGCAAGAAGCCTTTTCGAAAGCCTGAAGGAGCAGGCAGGAGATGAGTGCGATCAAACCTTCACAACAAGTCATGGGTGGTTCCAAAGGTTTAAGAACCGCTACAGTTTACATAGTGTAAAGGTGAGTGGAGAGGCAGCAAGTGCTGATGTTGGTGCTGCCGAAGCTTTAAAGGAGGAGCTAGATCGTGTCATCATGAAGGGAAATTATTTGCCTGAGCAACTATTCAATGTGGATGAAACTGGCTTATTATGGAAGCGCATGTCTGAACAGACATACATCCACAAAGAGGAGAATACAAAGCCGGGATTCAAGGCATTCAAGGACTGAATTACACTTCTGTTGGGGGGAATGTAGTTGGTTTCAAGATAAACCCAAGGGCTTTTAAACATATTGGCAAGCACACACTGCAAGTGTTTTATCAAAGTAACAAGAAAGCATGGATGATCCTAGTACTGTTTGAGGATTGGTTCATGACTTGTTTCATTCCACGAGCCAAGGAGTATTGTCTGCAACAAGGCATTGCATTCAAGATTTTGTTAATTTTGGATAATGCTCCGTGACACCCACCACACCTGGACGACCTGCACCCTGATGTTAAGGTAGTCTACATTCCACCTAACACTACCTCTGTCATCCAACCCATGGATCAAGGTGCTATTGCAGCTTTTAAAGCTAATTATTTATGTACAACCTTCGCTCAGGCTGTTGCTGCTACTGAAGGTGAGAAAACGCTCAGAGTTTTGGAAGGACTACAACATTTTGAAATGTATAAAGAACATAGCTGCAGCATGGGATGAGGTTACAGGTCAGTGCATGAATGGAATATGGAAGAAAGTCCTGAAAAGAAATGTGAACAGTTTCAGAGAATTTAACGAAGATAAAGTAATTTCTGAGATTAGTAACAAGATAGTGGAGTTGGGTAAACAGCTTGAGTTAGAAATTGATAATGAAGATGTTGAGCAGTTGGTTGAAAGTGTAGCAGAAGAGCTAAGTAACGAGGATCTTATTGAACTGGAAGCACAGAAAAATGCAGAGGAAGAAGAGAGTAAATGTAGAAGAATCTGCACCCCACAAAAATTTTACAGTGAAGCAAATGGCAGAGGCATTTGCTACAATTAAGAAGGGGATGGAAATGTTTGACAGAATGGATCAAAATGTTGAGCGTTTTGCCAAAGTTGACAGAATGGTCCAAGATGCACTTGCTTGCTACAGGAAAATTTATAATGCTTCCGACTCCGACTCCTTGGCCTATTTGTAACAACTATTTCTACCATCCTAATTGTAATTTGTATGTTGTAACCTGCGTAGGTAAAAAGTAAAACACCGTGGCTATACTGCTACAGCTTTATTAATGATCTGGACGATATTTAAGAACTACAAAAAGATGATAGGCTTGACTTTCAAAGTTTCAATCAAAAGAAAAATAAATTTATTAAGAATTCAAGATATTAACTAGAAAACACCATTTACATGTATATCTAAAAGTTCGATCTCAGCATATGAATTTTGTTTAAGCTCATAATCTGATGTGGATCTAAATGATGATTCTACAATTCCTTTTAAAGTAAAGTTATATATTTATGTACATTAAAGAAATGAATACCTTATTAAGGAAAATGGATAAACCTTACATGATTAAGTTATTAAATTAAATTTGCCTTAATCTCACCAAAAACAGGTTGTAGCTAATTGTTTTGTAGCTGAGAGCCTGTGTCCAGTTTTCAACGAAACAAAATTTGATATACTTCAAAATTTCAAATGGTAAAGAAGAGACTATCGTCCAAAATTATAGTGCTATACTGTGCCTGCTACAATAAATTCATAATAATGCTTATAAAATGGAAATAAATTCTTTTAATAATTTAAGAAAATTAGTGGGATCAGTGGAATCACTGCAATGAATATGCCTGAGTTCATATATTTGTTCTTAGGAACAGAATAGCTTCAGTCGGAGTCGGAGTCTGGACAATTTTACCGACTCCGACTCCACAGCCCTGATGAAAAGAAAAAGCAAACTGTGCAGTCTAAATTGGATATATATTTTAAGACGTCCCCCATTGCTGTCTCCTCATGCCCCACCAGTGCTGTCTCTTCACTCCCCAAAGATGATCCAATACCTTCAACCAGTAAGTTTCCCCTGTACATAAACCTGTTTGAAGAAAGTGACATTGATGACCCACCCAGCCCTGTTTCCTCTGCTTCATCCAATTAATGTAGTCTCCATGTATAATTAGAAAATTATGGGGGCCCAGTGTGCATTCAGCTCACTACATTAAAGGTAAGTACACAGTAATACTGTATCCATTCTTCATTATTGATTACTTTTACTGTATACCTAACCCCGTTGTAAGTCGGGGAGTTGCTGTACTCTCTTTAACCATATTTTATTCTTATGAAGTCAAATTTGCTCTGAAGTACATAAGTGATTGGCTTGATATGTTTTCAGGAGAATATAGCTTGATCATCACCAACAGTGAAGAACACCATGGAGTCATTAACAGCAAAGTTTGAAGACCTCGTCAGATGCATGCAGGTCCTGGCTGATCCGGCAGAGGAAAGTAAGTTTTTTTGGGAAATTTTTAAAAACTTTATGACTTGATCATTCAAAAAGAAAAAGGTTATGGAAACTGGGATAACATAAAGGTACAGTAGTTAACCTGGTGCAGTACAGTAATGTCAAACAGAATATGAAGGATCATAGATGCTGAGGTGAAACAGTTGTGTATTTTTCTTAAAGATTCAGTGGGGTTGATGTCTGCAGAAATTAAACAGTTCATTGTAAATTTTCCAGCAAAGAAGCATTAGTGCTAACTTACCAAGGACAATTCCACTTCATAAACAGATTAAGGGCACTTGCTCGCAGTTAATTACTTTTTATCAAGTACTAGAGTACATTACTGTAAGTAGCACCCACACATACACTCATGCACATACACACACACTCACACACACACACACATGCATACATACAAGTGGCATTAGAAATTAATTTGCCCAAATATTTTCTGTCAATTGTCCTGGTTTTTTTTTTTTTCTCCAACTCACATATCACTTTTATCTCTGTCCAAATGATGTCACTTGTAGTAACCCTTCTTAGGTGATGTCACCTCACACCTACAGGGTGTATGTTGAGGCAGAGGTGGCCCCTTGATCATCTATCCGAGTGGTTCCTTTCAAGTGATGACAACTTGACAGCTTAAAGTAGAGATAAATTACCTGCACCCGATAAGTTACTAATTCTGGTACAAATTACCTGCACCCGATAAGTTACTAATTCTGGTACATACAGTCAGGGTCAAAGTTCACTCCCACCCAAAATGAAACCGCACCGACCACAAATGAGATGAAACAGTTTGGGTAATTCAGTTCGGAGACTCATTCCCATAACTCAGTTTCACCACTGAACACTAATGACAAGCGGGCAGTTAGTGGACCTCCCAGGTTAAACATGTATGGGAAGGTGAGGTGTCGCAGCACCTGACAAATACCCGTCCAAGTTTTCCCATCAAAATATTAGGTGGTCCGCTGGGTAAGTGCCGGAAACATCAACATGAAAAATCACTTGCCAGGCCTCTATCCCAGGCATTGCTGGGTTGTCGGGCACTGCTAATCTGCATAGCCTGCATCGTAGACAACACCACCACCATAGTTACTACCCACCTCAATACTCACCCCTCTCACTACAACAATAATTATTCCATAAAACAACACTACAGTATCTTAGTTACCCACCACAATAGTGTATTCACCACTCACTTCAGCAATAATATCCGACACAACACCACCACCAACATAGTTACCCACCACAATGCTCACCCCTCTCACTACAGCACACACCCTTCCCCCCCCTATTGGGAGCTGCCTTGCTGCGAGTCCCGATGATTCAGTGAGCTGGGAGGGAAGGGTTTCTCATACTGGGCGCATCACCAGGGAGGATCAAGACAAAATGGCCCCAATTCTGCTGCCAGGTTTGAGAGCAGACCACCAGGGCTGGAATACTCTCCCACGTGTTTGCTATGTGTGGCATTCCATAATGCTGGGAGACGGGAGTCCTGTAGGTTGAGCGACACTGCACACTGCAGCTAGCAACACACCATTTTGGTCTGCTATTCCAGCTAGATGGGTGGCTTGGTTGGGCTCAATCAAGTCAATCGGCTGGTCACAGTGTGGCTAGGGTCAAGCAGGCATAGTGGACCCGGCACTCCTATGGTCCAGGAGCTGTCGTCTTGGCCACCTGTTGGTTACCTGCGTATTCTTATCTCTGACATTGATCTTCCCTTGTTGGGGTCTGGTGGATAGGGGGAGGGTGAAGTTATTATGTTTTATTTTTATGAATGACACAAATTCAATTAGCTAACCTGATAATCCCCTTGGCAACCCAGCACCCATCTCTGGACCCTCCTCTGGATCATCAATTGCTATATTACAACCCTCTCAGATAAAAAAAGGTGGCTCTGGATCCTGTCAAATGTCCAAGTATAAGAGCTGCAGGAGGCCCATTGGTAGCCTCCTAGTGGTCTCCTCCCCCGAGGAGAGCACTCGATTCCGTACCCTGTATGAGGTACCTGGTGCCCCAGTCTCCTGTATTCCGCATGCCGCCTTTAACCAGTGTCGAGGGGCAGTTTTCTCTAAAGAGCTGCTCTCATACTCAGAGAAGCTTCTGGAGGAGCTCCGTGTCCAAAAGGTGGTGACAGTGGATACATTCTGCAAGGAAAAAATAACCTTAACCCTACACCAAGTCTATTATTGATATTTATCTGCTTTGAACTTCCAACCTACTGTATATCAAGATTGCCTGGATCTCCCTTTAAATGAAACCATATGTCCCAAACCCAAGATGTATGGCCATGTCTGCTGCACTTGTCACCAGTTAGAGCAGGGTGTTCCTGCAGTATTTGTTAATTGTGGTAAGGCCCATGAAGGTCAGAAATGTCTGGGTCCGGACTGCTGTTTTAATAATAATAATAATAATTAATGGTTTATTGAAAAAGTTCTGAAAAAAGTTCTGCAGCCCGAAGGCTGAAAATATACATTGGACATAAATCACTTATTACATACATTGACATTGGTGGTTTAACAAAAGCCTTCATTAGAGAAGGGTAAGGGAACATATAGTGAACATACAGATTAATGTTTACAGTGGAGGTCACGTAAATCTTGTGCGCTGAGGTATTGAACAGCAGACACATAGTGTAGTAACTCCCTCACAGATGGCGTTATGAGGGACTTGACGTGGAGTAGTAATTCCCTCACAGATGGTGTATGAGGGGCCTGATGATGTAGTAATTCCCTCACAGATGGTGTATGAGGGGCCTGATGATGTAGTAATTCCCTCACAGATGGTGTATGAGGGGCCTGATGTGGTGTAATAATTCCCTCGCAGATGGTGTTATGAGGGCCTGATGATGTAGTAATTCCTTCACAGATGGTGTATGAGGGGCTTGATGTGGTTTAATAATTCCCTCACAGATTGTGTTATGAGGGGCATCACATGGTGTAGTAATTCCCTCACGGATGGTGTTATGAGGGGTATCACTTGGTGTAGTAATTCCCTCACAGATGGTGTTATGAGGAACCTCACATGATGCTGTAGCAACTCATTCATTACGTGGTGTCGTAGCATCATGAGGACACCACGTGGTCTGGTGTCACAGGACCTCACTCACTCAAGTGAGTGAGGTGTGGTCCCAAGCCTCCCTATCGTGGACGGATTAACACAGCTGGTGTTGTGGAGTCTCAGGGGCAATTATCACTGGGTACCTAGGCCCTCACTGTGTGATGGTTAGCTTGGGTAAGACTCAGCTGTTACTGCCGAGTTGTTTTTCACTGACATAAGCACTGTTCACCACTATTCAACACTGGTTCCATTCCTTTCCTAATTGAAATAGTAACTTTTGACAAGAACTTGTTGATATTCCGCTGGGGAGGAGGGGTTCAGGGGAGGGAGTTGGTATGGGCCAACATAACAGTTGACGTGGCTGCTGCCAGAGCAGCGCCAGGTACGTCTTGATCCTTCGGTGGTCAAGGATGAAGTGAGAGACAAACTGAGCTTTGCTGAAGCTAGAAGTGCGATACTAAAATCAGTCTCAAGTCATGGGGATTCGTATGAACAGGTTCTGTCCCGATACAAGGCTCGGCGAACTGTTGTTGTGACAAAGCCCCAAGAATCATGTGTAACTGTATTGAATTCAGCAGTTTGAAAAGATGGTCAACCTGCAATTAGTAGTATACAGTGGTCCCTCGGTTAAAGAACGGTTCGATAAAAAAAAATTTGGTTCACGAATTAGCTCCCATATGAATTTTCAGTTCGATTAACGAAATCCTTACGACAAACACATTTTGTTTCGCTGATCGGCTAGTCCACCAATACAGTAATTGGTTCTATGTTTACATTCATTTTCAGTGGAGTAAATATCAAGAAAGTTGGTCTCTTGAATATATTTGCATTTTTTATATTAAAATTATTGGTCATTCTAATTTAGTTAACATATTGATAATATTGACACTACAGGAGCAGGTTTTGTGTGCCCATCAGCTGATTGAATCACCCAACAATGCTTCTCAGTTTAACTTTGTTTACGGAGGAGTGAACATCGATTTTGTTGGTCTCTTGAATATTTTTGCATTTTTACATTAAAATTATTGATCATTCTGAAATTTAGTTAACATATTAATAATACAGTGCGGAAATTATTATGGAACACGAAGAAGGCATTAGAACCAATGCACTCTGTATAGAATATGGCAAGTCATCATCGACTGCCTCTACAATCAGCTGTTTGACATGTAAACAAAGCTGCCGGGAATACGACATACACACCTCAAAGCAAGTTAAAATACAGTACTCTATGTTTTTTATTTATTATTGTACAGTACTGTATTTAGTTTATATTTAATGTTTTGTTAATTCTATTCCTGGTATACAGTACTTTATATGTATACTTTTTCTGTGATTTGGAACCAATTACCCAATATCCCATTGAAATAATAGATTCGGTTAAAAAAAATTTTGGTTAATGAATGACTGTGGAACGAATTGTGTTCGTTAACCGAGAGACCACTGTACTACCTGGTGAAGAAAGCCCTTCTTTCGCCATATCCAGCTGGCTTGCAGGAGATGCATTCAACAACAGATGCTCTTGTTCATCTTGAGTCCTTTTGTCTGTGAGGCCTTTGCTTGTCAACAGTATCTCATCTGCGGGGTTTTTTCAACCTAGAAAAAGCATATGACATGGCTTGGATATTTGGCATCCATAAGGAGCGTCACAATTTTGGCTTGCGGGGAAATTTACCATCAATAATGGGTAAATTCTCGGGTCATTGCAATTTTAGGGTCTGCGTTTCCACAAGTGTGAACTCCACATATTCAGGAGGAGGAGGTTCTTTTGGGCAGTGTCTTGAGTATGACCCTATTTGCCATTGCAATTAATGGGGTAGCAGCATTGGTTCCGGGTGGTGTATCAATCTCATTGTGTGTAGACGTGGCCATTTCATATCCAGCTTCCCTTATGTCAGTGGCTGAACATCGTATGCAACTTGCACTAGACAAGGTTTCTTG